AGCAGTGCGGAATAAATATAACATAAAATAAAAGAAAGTCCGACCCTCAGGGAAGAGACGGACCTCCTTTAGCATTCCGTCTGATTTCCATCATCAGTCAGAAAGACTTTAAAACCTCTGGAGAAACCACCTTTTGCCCTAAAGCACTAACAAGCTCTCTCCCCCCCCCCATCCCCTCCACTCCCGCAATGTCTCCTGCAGCACATTCAGTGCGTGTGTGAGTGTTCATGTGTGTGCGTGTGTGTGTGTGTGTGTGTATACACAACCCGGGCTGCCTGCGCTTGTTTCGGGGTAACCCTTCCCCCGCCGCCCAGTTCCCTAGTAAGCTACTGCCTTGTCCTGACAAGTTCACTTAAAGGCAAGGCTATGGAATACCGAGAAGCGCTTGAGCCATAGGATACACTCCTCCAAGTAGGACGTGGGGTGCCCGAAGAGAATTTGCCTCCAACTCCCCCCCTTAGTAAAGAAAAGGCACAATACGTCTTTTGCTGCGAGTTACTTTAAGAGAAGGGCTGGGGAGGGATGGAGGAGAGAAGAGGAGAGCTGATCATTGCCATGTGTCGAGGAAACAGAAAAAGCAACTGAAATGGCTCGGGGTTTGCTTCCCCCTCACCCCCGGCTGCTCGCTAGCTTTGCGTTTTCTGCTCGGCCGTACCTCAAAAGCTGAATCACTCGCCATTATCCCCGCACCTCCTTCGCCCTTCGCTTGGGGGGGCTAAATTATTTACGACTTCAAAGGGCTCCATAAGCTGCACCGAGGAACCCGTGGCGGAGCCCCGGCGAGGGTCAGCCCATTCCAGCCGCGGTGTGCTCGGCGCTGCGCCTGCCCCCCGCCCTGCCCTCCGCCCCCTGCCCTCCGAGGGGGCTTAGGAGAGCCCCCCCGTATCCATAGCCCCAAGCTGAGCCGCGCTGCCTGCCCGCTCGGGCGGGAGGTTGTGCCCTCAACCTACGCGGATGCGCAGAGCGGTGGGTGGAGGGGGGTCCGCGGAAGGGGGAGCGCAGGTAGCCCGGCGTTTCTCACGGGACCCGGCGAGGGGAAAGGACTTGGGGACGAGACCCCGCTCCCCTCCCGAGAGCGCCTGTCTCGGGGGCCGGGGTCTGCTCTAGGCCGGCGGGAGGGAGGGGATGGAGCCCGGACCCTCCGCGGGGCTGAGCCGGCTGGAAGGAGCGGGTCGGGCGGGGGTGAGACCCGCGGGGAGAGCCGGTGGCCCCCGCTCGGAGAAGGGGCTGCTCTGAAGTCGAGTCTATGCCCGGAGCTCCCAGCTGGTCCCGGGCGATGAAAGGATCAGGAGCCCCGCAGGGTCCAAAGGCGAATGAGCAGCCTTTTTCAAAGGCTGTTCTGGGTCCTTTTTTGACTTTTTAAGACCTTTTTTTAGTTTTTTTTTCCTTTTTTTTTTTTTTTTTTCAAGGCTCAGTAAACTTTTCAGAGCACTTTTTTGCGCGTGATTTATGTCTGTTTCCCGAAGCCGGTGGGCAACCCGTGCATTTTCTCGTGAAAAAAAACCTCCCTTATAAATCTTTCTCCTGCTCTGGTCACCCATCCCTTCTTTCCCCACGTCCCCGATATTGGCAACCTGTCGGCAACACATAAGGCAAAGCAGACCTTTGTCGATCACAGGCATTTCTGCCCTCGATGCCCCTGTCAGGGAAGAAAAGTGGGAATGCTAAAGACTTTGGCAAGGTTGCAGGCTGCTGCCCTGCCCCAAAGGCTCAGAGAGGTCCGGCGGAATTATTCCTGTCCCCCTCCCTGCCCACACCGGTCCTCAATCAGCCCACACTTCAAATCAGAGATGCTCAGGACACACTTTGATCAAATCATGACCGTGCCAATCCAGAAAGCGACTTAAGTAGCCGTTACCTGCTCCTGCGGAGGTGGGTCCTCCTCGGTAGGTCACCCAAAGCCCACCGGGTCCGGCAGGTTGAAAGGGGAGAAGGTGGCAGAACAGCTGGGCTCCGGCATGGTATTATTTTAGGGCTCACCACCAAGGTCTCTGTTTTCCATAGCTGCCAATGGTCACCATCACCCAAGGTTTCTCTCAAGGAAAGGAGGAAGGAAATTTTCTTTCCAAGCTGCTTGTCCAGCCGGTCATTTGACCCTGACACCCACCGATGACACTGAAGAACACCCTGCTAAAGCGGTTAAACGCCTCGTAATTTCCTTTCTTCTATTTCCCCCGGCGGCTCCGGCGCAACGCCACCGAGCGATCTTATCGCCGTGTGATCATTATTCACCGGTGACAACCCGAGATGCGGAGCTCCTAAGTGAGGGTGACAGATTTCAAACGCGGGGCTGCAGCGTACTCAGCCTCAGACATATTCTTCCTCAAACTTTGCCTAAGCAAGCGAGTCAGCGGCTTTTAACCCTTTGCAGCCCTTTCTCTCTGCCTGGGCACCGAGAGCTCAGCCCGTGGGGGAGCGCTTATTTGAGAGGAGCCGCAGCGCAGACGGCTGCTTTGGCCGGGGACTTTTTATTACGTGTCATTTTCTATTCTTGATTCTTTTCGGTTGAAACAAACCACAGCCGCCAACTCTGGGGAGCAATTGGAGAGCTGAATACTTCTCCTCTGTGGTTAGGGGCTGGAAAAATCCTCACGGCAAAAGCAGACCTCTTTGGGACTCACCTGTGGTCCCTACTTTGTCACCGAGTCTGGTATGCAAACTGTCATGCACATGGCATGAATCCCTCTCACACACGCATATACAGAGCTCTGTACTTTCCTCAGCGTGGTGTGGCTGAAAGTATAGATCCGAAAGTGCTATTTCACTCAGACCTCCGGGTTAAACTCGTGTACAGGTTATTAATAACAGCAGAGAAAGAAGCGAGCGAGAAAGAAAGGTATTTCCACGAAAAAAAAAAAGAAAAAAAAAAAAGCCTTTTTCACACATGCACTTTGTAGTCAAAGGAAATATTTACCACCAGCAAACTCCAGCATGTCAGAACACGGTTCCTCCGAAGCAGAAGAGAGCCTTAAAAATGACAGAAAAAGCATGTGCAATTCAAAGATGAAGTGCATGAAAGCTTTCCAAACTCAGTACCACCAGCTCAGAGACTAATAATGTCAAGACAACGCTGTAGCAATGTAACACGAAGATGTAGAGAGGGAAACAAGGAAATTAGCAAACTCCATTGGTTTTCTAATAGTTCATTAATATCTATTTTCAGTAAATTTTGATGTTTCTGTCACCCTTCTAGACTCCTCTCCTCCGCCCCCCTCCCAAGAAAGGGGGGGACTTCTAACTGCAGCTGAACGACACCGAGAGCCTGGCCGTGGGATGAACTGCTGGGAGCTCCTTCCAAGAGCCCCAGTGGCCACGCAGTGGGAAGGACACGGGAGGCAGGTGGGTGCGTGAGAAGGGGAGCCCGAGTGCTCCCTTCATGAGCTGAGGGTGAGATGAGATAAGGCTGGACAAGGCAGGAGAAGAAGAAGCCGACAATAAGCAAGCGGGCAGGGGGAAAAAAAAAATAATAATATTATTCTCTCTCCTCCCACTCACATTTCTAAGTTTCGAATTTAAGCACAACAATCAAATAAACCTCCTTTGAAGAGCAACCCCCAGGAAAAAAAAAAAAAAAAAAAAGAAGAAATAAATAAATAAATAAATCAAAAGCAGACCCTTTAGACATTGCATATATCCTTGTCCTATTTATAACAGCAGGTGACTTAAGCGGAGAGCCTGACAAGCCCTGGCCGTCTGAGCTTTCCCAGGCGGGAGGCCAGCAGCCGCGGGCGCGCAGTGGGGAGTTCCGCGGGCGCGGAGCGGGGCCGGCTGCACGTCCCGCGGCGCGGCCAAGGTGGCAGCAGAGCACAGCGCTAGGATGCTCGGCGGCCGCGGCCGCGGCGGGGAGACACAAACCCCCCTTCTCTCCCTCCAACACACTCTCTTTAAACCGGTAACCCCACACCCACCCTCCTCTTGATTATACTCTGATTGCTTGGGCTTGAAATAATCCCCACCCCCCCAAAAAAAAAAAAAAAAAAAAAAAAAAAAAATGTGTGAAGCGTGTATTTATTTATTTTCAAACTGCTCTGCATGGTTGAAAGGCTGTAAACAGACAGGAGAATATAGAAATGTATTATCTTTAAATTCTCTCTGTGATCACGCAGGATGGCTAGCCTGGAGTGATGGTCCACTGATCCATAATACAATCTCACTTATTTTAAAGAGAATGTGAAATGGGGCAACATTAAGGAAGATTATAAAAATGAAAGTCTGTCTTTTTTTTTTTTTTCAACTTCTTTCCCCCAGCTTTATTGATAGAATGACTTCTACAGTTTGCAAGAGAGAGGGCAAAAGGAGCTGGAAGTTGTTCTGTAACTGTAAGGCCGGTTTAAAACACACTGAATAATCTCAATTTTTGTCAATAATGTCAATTTTTGGACCAGGCTTTAAATTCATGCAGCTGTCAGACGATAAAAAACTCAAAGTGACTTCTTCATCAAATTTTGGCAAAATCAGTTGTTTCTTAATCTTTTTTTTCTTTTAAAGTATTTTGAGGAAGGGAAGGGGATAATGGGAAAAACCCACACCAAACGTGTATTTTCTCTGAGGTCTCACTTCTACAGTGAGCTTAAAATGAAAATACTGTACTGGTTCTGAAACAGACTTTGGCAGAGTCTGAGTGACATGTGACATGGCTCAAATGGTAAATTTCTACCATGTTGGAATGCAGGGATTGGATTTCATTTCCAAATAAAATTAATAATAAATCTTGTGTGCCATTGAACTGTCCTTGTTTGTCGTGTTTCTCAACAGTTCTTTATTTCCTTCCCCTTTCCCTTCAGTCTACTGTTACCATCTTCTTTTTTTTTTTTCACTTGTGTATGTCGTTAGGTATCACCTTGTAATAGGATGCATAATGCCTTGGGTTGCTGCACTTCATAGCCCTGCCCTAGTAGAGGCTCTCCCTTCTTTCCTCCAAGGGATTTCTGCATTTAGCTTTTGACAGTATCATGATAAACTATTTCTATGGATTGCCTTTGGCCATTCTTCACTGTCTTGTCCCAGGAGACACAGAAATCCAGGAGTCTTATAGATCTTTTTTTTTTTTTTCTTTAATACTGAGGAGGATGTTCCAAGGTTTTTTCTTTGCAGCCTCTTTGTCAAGTTTATTTCCAACAAAACCAGGAAATAAGCTGGTCAAAGTCTGTTGACTTTTTTTACTTTAGAGACTCATGTCAATTTTTTTCAAATCAAAATATATCCACCCAGATGCCATCTTACAGACACGTTGGAAACAGACAGATAAATAGGTAAGACAGGAAGACTGATCTGTAACATTATCTTACATTTGAAACAATAAAAAGTATATTTTTCTGACCACACTTTGTGACCAAAGTAAACTATGACAAATTGCATCGCATGTTGTGTCATCTCGTTTTAAGCAAAAAGTCTGCAGGGAAGACAAACTTCTATGTATAAGTTGCTGGTTGCTCATCTTAATGTACATGCTGAAAACAGTTGCTGAAAACAGTTGCACAAATATAGATAATTCAGCCAACAACTAATTGCATCTGATGAAATCCAGGTAACTGAGATGGCTAAATCATAACTGATATAGGAATCTGGCAGTCATTAAACACTGCTATGCATTGGTTCTTTGGGTTTTTCTATATATATGCAAAATGCAAGGGAAACATAAAATGAAAAGAAAAACACATACATAAGGAAAAAAAAAGTTAATTTATGGTTGACCTATCTACTTACCATAGTGGGAACGGAAGGTATGAGTAGAACCTTGTGAATAGTATATAAATGACCCATGTAAGTTGTTTCTTTAACAGATTCTAAGTAAAATCATTATGGTCCTTTTCATTGTCTTAGCCAGCTTTTAAAATAAAGGAATTTTTTCCATCTCTGCTTCTGTCACTGAACTTTTACCTTTCTGGAAAAAAATCCACACACTTCTATCAGATATATTCTAGCTGCACTATATAGAACACTACCTCAGTAGAAGTCACACAGCATTCATTAAGTTGCCCCTTATGTGTTCATCACTCTTCTTTTATTCTATGTGGAGAAGGCTAGAAGGCAGACTATCAATCTACTCTAGAAAAAGCATCACTTTCTGATTGCAAGGCCATCTGCCCCATCTCCCAAGGGGCCCCAAGAGCTCACTCATTCTAATTTTCTACTGATTAAAAAAACAGATTCATTTGTACTTTCTTATCCACAGGTTCAGCAAGCTAAAATCATTTTTTCACTTTTGTCTCCGTCAAGTCCATTTCTGTAACTTTTTATATTTTCAAGGGGATGGTTACAATTATGGAAGAGTCCCTTTGTATGATCTAAGAGGATCCCGTTTTCTTTCAGCTTTAGAATTATGAGGATTTATAAAAACTGGACAGGAGAAAATTATTTCAAAACAATTAGCCGGGTCAAATTTTCTCAATATTATTTAAAAAGATAACATGAAAAAATTGCTACAATGTACTCTATAGACCCCAGGGCTCATAGCATAGTTCTTACAGCTTTACAGCTGCTTGGTTTCCATGCAGCACTTTATGCAAGACTAGCAAACTTTGTTCTACAATGTTTCAAAAAACCTTGAGCTCTCTCTGACAACTGTTGTTAAACCTCTTTCAATTCCAGTATAAGTTAATTATGTGTAATAGGATACAAAAGAGGATGTAGATTTTCTATTGAAATTTATTGATTTTTGCCTTTTCTGGATTAATCCCTTGATTATGATAAAGAGGTAATGCTATTTTGTGAAGCCTTTTCTAATCCTTCCTGTTTATTTATTTTAGAACATTTTGTTGTAAAAGGGATAGCTGAAAAGGAAAATTAGTTTCAATTACTCAAAGAAGAAGGTATAAAGACATTGCCCTGACCACCAAGGTCAAGAATCAGAGGCTACATGATTATACCTCTACACTCAGAAACAAATGAGCAAAAGTCTTTGCATGTTGCTGTGCTGTAAGATCCCCTTTCCAGGGGCTATTACTAGAGGGCAGAAAAGGATGTCACTGCTATACAGACTGATCACCTGAAAGGAAAGTGAAAAAAACCCACCCTAAACCCATGCAGAACGACCAGGCAGATGGTATCTGTTTTGAATCCCGATAAATTGGCAGTAAGCTTTCAGGTCTTTGAGAGGATTTTGAGGCAGTGAAAATATCTTGTGAAACCATTTGTCTTGCTCTTCAGCAGTGCAAAGCACCCACGTCACAGATTTGTGGACTGAGGGGGATAGGAAGGTTGTCACAGCAGTCAACAGCTCTTCATCAGTTTTGAAACACAGGGCACCAGCTTCTTTTTCTTTAGTCCTAAACTTTTTCTTAGGATCTAGTAAAAGAGAGCTTATGCCACTTCAATAATCTCTTTATGAAAAGGAACACATTACCGTTTAGACTTAGGGGAAATGTTGTTAGAAGGAACAAGGGTCTCTGAGGAGATCTACTGAACCAGTAAAAGGTTCAGCATCCATCCAGGTAACGACGGCCTGCTGGGCAACGAAGCTGTTGAGGGGTCTGGAGAGTAAGTCTTATGAGGAAACACTGAGGGAGCCGGGATTGTTTAGCCTAGAGAAAAGGAAGCTGAGGGGAGACCATATCGTTCTCTACAACTACCTGAAATAGGTTGTAGAGAGGCGGGGATTGGTCTCCTCCCAAGAGACAGGCAATAGGACAAGAGGAAATGGCCTCAAGTTGCACCAGGCGAGGTTCAGATTGGATATTAGGAAAAAATTTTACTCTGAAAGGGTTATTAAGCATTGGAATGGGCTGCCCAGGGAAGTGGTTGAGGCACCATCCCTGGAGGATTCAAAAGATGGGTTGACATAGTGCTTAGTAACATGGTTTAGTGACGGGTTGTCATGGTGGGGTTTTGTTGTTGTTGTTGATTGGTTTTGTTTTTTCTTTTATCAGAGTTAGGTTGATGACTGGACTAGATGATCGTAAAGGTCCCTTCCAACCTAGGCGATTCTATGATTCTATGATAGAAGGGATGTGGTTTAATGAGGGGTGTGTGCTGTGTGGAAGCAGAAGTGCACCACCGGAAGATATGAGGCTACTTACTACATTGATACTGTGAAGAATATGTAGTTGGTAGTACCAATAGATTTTTTCTTAATTCCATTCTCATATTATAGCACAACTGGGAAAGGTACTCGAATTATTTAATGAATGGGATACTGAAGTAACCTGTGTAGTGAGAAAACCCATCTGCAGAATGGCACCAGGACTGCGAATTTAGGGTGAGTTTAATTCAGCTAGGAGTGTCTGTTAGGAAATTCCACTTGGTTTTCCATTTTGCAGTCTTTGCAATTCTCAAGACCTTGAACAGTCCCTGGGGAATGACCTATATCAGCTTTGTATGTACTATATTCGTTCAGCCTG